ATATTTTAGGAACTTTTATTTTTGGAGTGGATTGATAAGGTATCCCAATGTCACGGTCGGATACCATATAAACAACTTGAATGATAATTGACCGGGCCATGTTCTTTTTTCAGGGCCAAAACTAGATGAACCAAACACAATAAACACCATGATATAATAATAAGTTGTGTGATATCATGCCCTATCATCCCAACCAAACTGACCCATACTGTTTATTATTCACATTATTTATTCCTCCCAAAATAGTATCATGCTTTTCAAAATCAACCTTATTTATTGTTGCACTGTGTTAAATAAGAACAATTTCTGTCAAATTTTTCCGTTACTCATTAGACCATCTCCAACCGAAAAAGCCATACTCAAACCCATTTTGCAGTAATTGTTTCATTTTGCAGTAATTCATCTCCAACCGAAAAACTCATTCTCCAACCCAAAAGAATATTCTCAAAATATTCTCTTTTACACCAACTTTTATAACTTTTCAATACTACCCACATATTTTACAACTTTACAAATTGAACCACACTATTATTTAAAATTCAATTTGGACCTTATGTAATTAAAATTAATTATACATAATAAAATCGGAGAAATAGTATTCATTAAAAATTAAAAATTCAGCACACAAATAAAATTAAAATTTACAATTCACTAGATGAAAAATTAAAAAGGTAAATGATGATTCATCATCGCTCATCAACGCGATGAAGGAAGCAAACAAAAGACTTGTTGATGAGATGAAAAATGCAAACGACCAAATAAAACACCAAATGGAGATGCATAATAGATCCCACGCTTTAAAAGAAATGAGGGAAGAAAATAAAATTCTGTTTCAAGATGTCAGTTCCATTGAAGATCCTAGAGTTCGAGTGTATATTGAAGCTGAAAAGACACGAATCTTGGAGAAAAGAGCTCAACAAGCCCAATCGGATCCATATCCAACCAATGCATTTGGCCAATTTTTCAATGATCTTGGAGGAGGCAGTGGCAACTTGCCAGATTACTAAGTATTCGTGCTTGTTTTTAGTTGTTGGGTTTATGATGTATTTTTATTTTAGTACCGTATGATGTTGTATTTTTATTTCAGCACTAGTTATTGAAATATTTTTCCTTAAACTGTGATCTATCATGTACTAGTGTTATTTCAATATGTATTCGTAATGTTTTTCAATATTTCAATATGTAAACCGTGATTTATTATAGTCTTTAATGTTAATCTTGTAGTGTTAATCGAAAAATTAAATATATATACTAATATATTGACATACATAAAATTAAGGATAAATATATGATAATTATTACTTTTAAAATTATATTATTTTAATTGACTTTAATTCACGTATAAATATTAAGGAATACCTGAACAGACATATATATAGTCTCGGATCATTTTCATTGCATAACACAAAATAAACAAATAAACAAATATACATAACACAAAATGAATGCAAAATAAGTAAAAGGATTAAACTGCATATACACAGAAACATTTTGCGTTCATGAACAGTAAAAACGCAAATTTGCGTTTGTAGCAGGGACAAACACACCAAATACCTATTTTGGGTTTGCGTTTAGCGATCGGTTTGAGCAAATTTGAGTTTGCATTTGCGTTTTTGGCATCGGTTGGAGATGCTCTTAGTCATTAACATAATCAAAAGTAGGACTAAAATACTCGTCATCATCAGATAGAAAGCTATAGAATGTTGCCGATGAAAAATTCAGAAAATATTTATAAAATGACAAGAGATTAATTTTAAGGTGATGTTATTCCCAGTGGAGATTCTATGGTCCCGTTATCATTTTGTCGAAATTTGTAACCGTTAAATCAACTATTCACGATAGTTACATGATGATCATACAATTACGAATCTCAATAAAATTGTAAGGAGAATGTACCATTTCCCTAAATCACATAAGTATTTAATTTGGAGGTAAAAGATAATACCCCACAAGCACATGACACATTTCAAGACATAATACACCTACAGTCTTGAAAAGATGACAAAAAAAGCTTTAAGCTTTCGCTAAATATTGTTTCAGTTCCCCATAAACACCTTTAACCACCCTATGGGGTTGTTTGGTTTGAGGGATTTGGAGGGGAGGGGAGGGAAGGGGAGAGAAAATTTTAATTTTCACTTGTTTGGTTGAAAAATTAGGAGGGGAGGGAGAGGAAAATTTTAAGTGATTTTCCCTCCCCTCCCCCACTTTTCCTCCCCTCCAAAATTGGAGGGATTTGGAGGGGAAGTGGTTTTTGATGATATAAAATTACTTTTTAGCCCCTACTTTCAATTGTTTTTAATTTTTTATTTTATTTCATTAAGGGTAAATTTGTCATTTTAGTTTATTTTCCCTTCATCAACCAAACAAGTTTACCATTTTCCCTCCCTTCCCCTCCTAAATAATCAATCCAAACAAGGTAAAATTATTTTACATCACCTCCCCTCCCCTCCCTTTCCCTCCATTAAAATCCCTCCCCTCCCTTCCCCTCCATTGAACCAAACACACCCTATAATAATACTGTCCAAATGAAAGATTATATGTGTGTATTCCTGTTTATGTATCTAATATAGCATATATACTGTATATAACTATTTTGTCAGAGTTTTCAACCTTTGTGTAATCGTCGATAATAATTAATCTAACGATTAGAAATCTCGACGGAAACATAACGGACAGTAATATTTCTCATAATACAGCGTTCTCTATGTGCACCGTCACTTCTCTCTCTCTCTCTCTCTAGATATCACCCGTCCATTCCCCTGTACTGTACTCTTTCACCTCCCCTTTTTCTCTTCTCTCTATTGAGCTCACATCTTGCCTCTCCCTCTCTCTCCCATCTTTTTCTCTCTACATTGAGCTATAAAGTAAAGTACCGTCCTTTTTGCATAATCTGGAAACAGTCATGGCTGTCTGTGCTGTGGTCTCTCTGCTCATCTTGGCCATGGCTGGCTATTCAGGTGAAAAAAAACAAAGTCCCTTTTTTTTTTTTATTTATTTCTTCCCAACTTCCTTATTTTTCTCGATTCGAACATTTGATGCAGTGTTTCAACCCTTTGTACTTCCTTGTATTTTGCTAATATTATGTAGTGTACTCGAGGCATGAAAGTTTAGATCTTTCCTGTTACTTTTTTTTATCTATTTCAATTTCTTGAGCCTTTTATGCCAATTTTTTATTTTCTTTTTTTTTTTTACCTGATCTGCTTTAAAAGTTTTCATTTTCAACAGATTCAATTAATTTTCCAGCTATTTTTTTAATTTTTTTTTTATTTTTTTTCCCAATTTAATGTGAATCCATTGTCTTCTTTTAATCTACAGATGCGGTTTACTGTGTTTGCAATACTGGGCTGAGCGACACAGTTCTTCAGAGGAACATAGACTATGCATGTGGAAATGGGGCTGACTGTACTCAAATCCAGCAATCTGGGTCTTGTTACAGCCCCAACACTGTTAGGGATCACTGTAATTATGCAGTGAATAGTTACTTCCAGAGGAGGGGTCAAGCTTCTGGGAGCTGTGATTTTAGTGGCACTGCCACTGTTAGTCAAAACCCACCTTGTAAGTCTCCCACTAATCTGATAATAGTATGTATATTCTGAGATTAGTTTTTGTGTGTGTGTGTGTGTGTGTGTTAATTTTCCTGTTTTTGTCTTTGAAACACTGGCTGTTGATGATTACAACCTATTACAGTAACTTGTTTATCTGTCTGAATCTCATCAAGAACTGCCCTTAAAGCATTTGTAATTAAAGGAGGCATCTTTTGTCAAATTCTTAATAATCGGGGGAATCGGGGGTGCGGTCCTGCACAGTTAAACTTACCGTAAGAGGGTGAGCCTAGACGCATTCATTGAGGTTACATCCCAAAACCAATTGGTAGATGGGAGGAGTAGCTCACTAGGCTTATAAACTAGGCTCATTTACCCTATAAAATTAATTTGGACGACTCACAAATGATATTCCGACATTTTTATTTTCTTTTTCTTTTTGTGCAATTAGAATAAACTCATGATATTTTTTTTATTTGGCAAATATCCCTTTTCTTCATTGTACTGACATGGTATTTCTATATGATATCCTTGGTTAATGATTTACAGCTACATCTTCTACATGTGTGTATCAAGCTAATCCCAGGTAAATTTTGTTGTTGTTTATGTTTTGTTCCTTTTTTCCCCCCCTTAAGCTGTCTTGTTTTTCCTGTATATTGTGTTGGCTGTGGCTTTGGGAAGTTTATTGTATTTAGTTTTTTTTGTTGTGAAATATTTGGTAAAAACTACCTGATAAGCCAATTGAAATAATAATTTAAACGTGTTTGAAAAGTGATCGAGACGAGCTCGCGATGGTTTTTTTGGGAGAAATACGAACGACTCTCGACTCTAGTTTAATTATTTACTTGCATAATTATTATTATTGTCATGATGAGGAAAAAGGTAATGGGTACCCTTTTACCTCCTTGCAAGCAATAGTTATAAACAAAGAGTTAAGTGTCATTGATCATCATCCAAAGTTTGACTCAAAGATTATAACTTTTGTGGTAAAAAAAAAAAAAAGTAGCAATTATTGTTGATTTATGCATCTTTTGTTGATACTTGATGGGCTTTAGACTATTTATTATATTTGTTTATAAACATTAATGAATGTGAAATTGACCCTCCAGCAGACACCACAGAGTTGAAAATGTTTGCATGTTCACATAATAGAAAATTGGTAGATGCAACTGCGTTTCTCAAAAGGCATAGTTAGGCCCAAATGGTCCCAATGACATCTAAAAGTTGTTGTGACCAAGTTTGCCTTGTTTACTGTAAAGATCACATGGTTTTGTTTATCTATCATTATTCAGTTTCCCTTTAATAGGTGAGAATTTAATCAAGATCATTAGACAATCTAGCAAATTAAGTTTTGTCGAATTACGAGAAAGTTATTTTTCTCTGTAAAAATTACAAGTACTTGGCCAGTTGAAAGTCTCGGGACAACCCACATTGAGACTATATATATTACCTGCAAATATCCTACTTTTTGGGGAGTAATTTATGTAAGATACACAACAGTGGATTGATACTTGCAAGAGGCTTACACAAAATATGAGCTTCATGTTGACCTATTTGCAAAAGCCAAAATCCCACCAAACTTCCAAAATCATGTACCTTTATTTACCTCTCTTCATAAGAAAAAACTTTCACTTAGCCTTAGTAGCCTTTCATAGACCAAACCATTGGGATGTTATGCTTATAGTTATGTTAAACTTGAGGTAATTTTTTCATTTCTTGTTAACTCTTTGATGACGCTTGAAATAATCCTGGTTTATGTTCGGGCATTGTGTAGCACTGGCGGAACTCCTACAACCGGCACACCAACAACCGGTGGGACTCCGACTACCGGAACTCCGGTCTCCGGTGGAACTCCGGTCTCCGGAGGGACGCCAACCATGGGTGGAACTCCAAACGTAGGCGGCACTACTGTCCCCGGCTCAACTTCAAGTCCAGGATTTGGCCTCGGGCCAACCGGCAGTGGATTCCCGAGCACGGACAATAGCAGTGGTGTGGAGTTACCCTCTCAAAATCGGCCCTACACGCTCTTCTTGATTTCCTTGGTCTTGATTTCTGGTTTCATTTGCTCAAGGATCTAAGGAAAAGCTGATTTGATTTGATCCTGATGAACATTTGACATTTTGGTATTGTGGTAGGCACCATGTGATGTGGATTATTCCCAAGTGCCTCCTTTTTTTTTTTTGTTGTTTTTTTCTCTGTAGAAAAGAAAAAAAAGGAGCTAAAAAAAGGAATGTGATTCCTGTGAATGGTAATGTATGGGCTGTTTATGGTGGTACAAGAATCTGTTCTCTGCTGTTTAGATTTTTTCTATGTATATCTAGATAGGGAGACAATAAAATGTTGTTGTATTATTATCCTAATGCCTTTTCTTTTAACTTGCGAGATGAGATTTTCATTTCCTATATATATAATTTTTTTTTTTTTAAGAAAAACACCTCGACAGGTAGGGGATTACCCTAATTGGGCCGAAGAAATCATAATTCTACACGTGTAAGAACAATAAACGAAAACAAAAACGAAAAAGGGAAAACCAACTAAAATGAAGAGTATCAAAAGGCTATCGAAATCTGAATGATAGGTAGTCATCCTGGTCCATCCGCAGGCGGAGATGGGCGTCATGCGGGTTAAAAGTGCGCCTCTGGAGGAGAGTTGGAGGCACCAAGGCTGGCTAGGTTGTCGGAGGGTTGATTCCCCTCGCAAATTATGTGTGCGGTTCAGTAGGAAACAGACTGAAGTGTGGATCTAATGCGAATGAGCGACTGCTGAATCTGCCACGAGCCTGGTGGCCCGAGATCAAGAGGGTGGCGACAGCGGCAGCATCCAGCTCAATCCAAATGTGAGTAAAGATAGAGGTTGCAATATGAAGACCGATATGAAACGTCTGAATCTCTGTGTCGTAGTTCGAGGAGGCCTGAAGAGGGGCGTGGAATGAGGTAATGTGAGCTCCACTTTGATCCCTAATCAGGCCGTGCCTCTGGCGACTTCGGTGAGTCGGTGGAAAGATCCGTCAGTGTTTAGCTTAACCCAAGGGGAGCTGGGTCTCAACCAAACAACGGTTGTGGGGTGTGGGTGCTGGACAGGCGGCAACGAAGGCGACATGAAGTGATGGGGAGACGTGCAGCATGTCCAGTCTCTAAGCGTGAGTCCGCCCAAAGATGTGAAGAGGATAGATGTCGATCAACCTGCAAAACAATGTGAGAGCACATGAATGTAATATTCTTGTGCTTCGCACTATTCCTCTCTACCCAGATGAATCTCAGGATCAGACAAGGAATGAGGAAGACCACGTGTGTAAAGTGTGTGCGCTGTGAGAATAAACTCAAGAGCACTAAGAAACTGTCTGTAGTGTGAAAAGATATATAAATATAAGTGGCAAAATGCTCTCGCACTCTCCTTGCAACATCGCTCTCTAAAAATAAACGGTAAAAAGTCTCAGTCTAGAAATTATTAGTCTCGATACAACAGTAACACAGCGAGGGGAAGGAAACCCCCCTCGCATGCAACATAGAGTCGATCGGAATCCAATGCCAATAAAGACAGGGATGATTGGGGTAAGCAGGTCGGTCCAAATGATCCCGAAGAGAAGGTTAGACCGGTCACCCAGTCGTACTTCTTTCCAAGCCGAGGTCGTAGAGAAACACTAGACGATGTAAGTCTCCACCTCATACCGCCCGACTTTCCACTGAGGTGGATCTGTTGGTTCTTCTCTAATAAATGGTCACTAAGACCCGCTCTAGTATCCAACTCCTTTTCTAACCTATCCCTATCCCACGTCCCATTTGTCCACAGGTCCTTCACCCACAGGGAAGATGAGTGAGTGGCCAGCCTAGTGCCCGAAAAGAGCCCCTCACCCACCACCACTGGTCTCAAAAGCTGACATCCCCTCACCCAACGTCCAAAAGACGTGCTCCTGGGCACACCTACTTACCCTGGTGAGCCACCTCCACTCGCTGCTATCATGATTGGTGGCCATCACCCTAGAGGGATGACAGACACCTCTAGGGCAATACTTCCAGCGAAGGTACCGAGCCCAAAGCGACTTTCCCTCCCTTAAACGCCACCACATATTATGAGAGAAGACGGTGACTACGTCCGAAAAGCGACGGATCCCAAGGCCACCCTCGGAAAAAGACAACAAGCGGAGTCCCACTTCACCCAGTGGCGTTGTCTCCCCACCACGAGTCGTCCTCGTGTCTCTATCGAGCTCATGGAGAGTGGATCTACTGGGATCAAGGACCATAAAAAGATGAATTGAAATGGTGTTGAGGGTACTCTTAATCAGCGTGAGCCGACTTCCAAAAGAGAGATGCCCATGCGACTAACCGAAAATCTGGTTAATCATCCTTTGACTGACATCAGCAAAGAGCACTTTCATGAGATGACCCTTGTACAGAGGGGCGCAAGGTAGGTGATATAGATGTCTCTACGCGCGAAACAAGTAAGCTCATGGACTCACTGCGCCCACCGGTCCGCAATAGGGGACGAGAGAATTAAGGTGTTCTTTTGCACACTGACTAGTTGAATGGTGACAACAATAGTGCTCCTGGAGGTGCATCAGCTCGACCAGTCCATCATCATCCTCACGAGTGAAGATAATGATGTTATCCGCATAATAGAGGTGCGAGATGGGAAGATCATAGCCTCGAGTGTTGTAGGTCATCCTCGAGTTATCACGGATGAAGGTGTCAAGGCATCGAGAAAGGTAGTCCGCCGTCGGAACAAAAAGCGAGGGAGAGAAGGGGTCCCATTGTCGGAGGCCCCGAGAAGATGGGAAGAAATCAATGAGGCTGCCATTAACCAGAAACGAGAACATGCAGTGCTTCATACGCGCCTCCACGAACTGGCCCAACGTCCCAGGAATTCCATCCGGACCAGTACTTCCATGAGAAACGACAACTCGACCCTATCATACACCTTAGCCATGTCTAGCTTTAGCGCAAGGTTCGAAACTCATAACTGATCCGCATGGGAGATGTTGCGGATCATTTCCTGGCCAGAAGGATGTTATCACTAATGACCCGATCCTTGACGGAAACCACTTTGGTTCGGAGAGATGAGAGAATGAAGAAGAGGGACAAGGCGCCCGTTAAGAATTTTGGAAATGAGCTTATTGGTCACATTACAGTTGTAACGCCCCAAAATTTTTTTTAACACAATTCTGGACTTATCCAAAAATCTCGTTTTAAAATTTCAAAAATCATTTATCGATTTAATAAAACATTGGCGCTACTCAAAAACATTTCAAGTTTAAACACGCAACCAGCATAAAAGAAACAAGAATATCTAACATAATTCAAGTTTCAAAACTAGATTTCAACATATCTAGCAGTAGGATTGTCAACATAAGCCAAACTGAAAACATAGCTCACATGGTTCAACAGTTCAACCAATCCTAAAAGCAATAGGAAAAGTAACAATGTCTGATAGTCTCAACATAAATATCAGAGCGTGCGGAAGCAATAAAAAGCAATAATAATATTTGACCATCCACTCGTCTTCAATCTCGTCATGCCCAACACGTACTTAACCTGCATCCATGAAGAGCAGGTGGGGATGAGCACAAATATAATCGAGGTGCTCACCACTATGCATAATATATTGGTCGGAATCCTATACTAGAGTCATATGCAAGTACATGGTCAAAAGACATAACACACCACTCTCCCACTCATCATATACTCATGTGCACACCTATCAAAAGCCGCCAGGGGTAAGCCCAAACTCGTCAGCGGGAGTACAGTCGTGCCGAGGTTCAACATCAACGGTCACGGCCCATCGACTAGGCTAAAATGAGTCTACCTATCACAAGGTTGGAGATCGCCCACCACTAGGCACCGTCTCATGACTCACACATACATTCATAGAACACAAAGTATAAAAATCTTACCTCAATTATAACATAGCAAATTTTAGATTTAAACCCACCTGGATACCGGAATATAGCCAACACAAGCAGTTGAAGGAATAACGGCAAAAGTTCGGCTCGATGAACCTACACCAATTACGATAGTCCTATCAACAGACTATTCAGCACAAAACAACACAAGCAACACACAAAACAACACATACTTAGCCGAAACCATATCGACTAAGTGACTCGTGGATTCCTTGACCGAGTTAAGTACTTTGGAGTGACTACTAGACCTGAACACAACTCAAATACCTCAGATGATACACACAAATCATGCCAACATCAATAAAATCCAACCCGAACCTAAACAACGGACAATCGAGCATTAAGACACCAAAATAAACAAAATTCAGAATCTGGAGTTAGACTCAACCAATCAACCTGAAACTTTACCATATTATAGGGCATATAAAAACACATAACCTCACCAAGTTTCAGCTTAAAATTCATCCGGAAGCATTTTTAAATAATTAAAGCAAAAACAGTGTCAAAATCAGATGTTATCATTGCATATAGCTACAATTCGAATTTTAATATAAAATTTTGACACAACACTTAATAACTCAAAATAACATACTCCTCAAGGTTTCATCTCAAAACTCCAAGTGTACGATTTTTAATGAATTTTACAAGATTCTGACTAGAAACCGATTTATATAATTAAAATAGTTACAGATGGAGTTTCGACTTGAAAATTTTACACGGCTTACAAAATCATCACAGAAAATCACATATAAAATTTCACGGTATTCGGACAATCACACGATTTATCATGAATTAATTACGATTCAGCAGCACGCTCGGTTTGTAAAAATCATAACTCGCAATATATACATCGAAACAACTCCAAACTTGAACTAACAGCTCAAGAACGACTCCAACTACTTATAAATCCAGGAATTCCACGAAAAACACAAATTCACTTCAGTTTCGGGAATAAACCGAAGCAACGGCAAACACAAATATATACAACTCGCACTAATTCCTCAATAGATCACATATATGTATCAAAATCATCATTTAGGCATATATTATAACACAACACATCAATATAAATAGGGATTATCAGCCTGGTTACCGTTCTCAGGAAAAATCGAACGAAAGGATCAAAAACGGAGCTGGAACAAACTTCACGAGTGCACCGACGGGGCTCGACGGTTAAGATTC